AGTTCATATAAGTTACTTTAGTAATAATCCGGATGTACGGTTTTCGAAATTGAAAAATGTCAATTCCATCATTTCTTGAATGCATAATTTTGTGTAGGAAAGGTATTTTATTTCAACTTTAATTATTTTAAATTTAGTTTATTGAAAACTTAATGCTAGTTAGGTCAAGTAGATCTCAAATCTGTGTTTCGATTGTTCCATTACGTTCAAAATATCAATTTTTGAAGGGTAGTATATCTTATATGGGTGCACGAGATTTTGAACATATTCGAGGTCCCATTTGAAGGAGTTTTAGTCCTAATGTTTTGTTGTTGTTGTTCTATTTTTCTGATGTTCATTGCAGTCCCATGATCCTCTTTAGAAATCCCATTAGTGTGTTAAGTTGTGCATCGTGACCGTAAGATGTCTACAGAATCGCATAAGGATGTAGAAGTTTATAAGTTACAAATCATATGGGTGATAAATCATATGACAAAAATTTATATCAAAAATCAAAATATTATGATATGGAATTGGGTCAATTAGACTACATATCAAAAACTAATACAAACATTAACATTGTAGAGAAAGTATCTACCCATAAATAAAAGAACTTCAAACGACTACATTGTGTATGCTATTGTGTTATTGATATGAGAAGTGAGTTCTTCAATTTATAGAGTTTAAACTTTTCCTCTAAGGAAAAAGAATTAACAAAATATAGGAAAAAATAATGGTTTCCTTTAAGAAAGCTTCAAACATTTATGGTAATACTTTGTTTTTCCTTTTTGAAAACAATACACTTCAAATCAAAAAAGAAAAATAGGGCAAAACCCTAACAAATATCCCCTTTTGGTTGAATTTTCTTGAAAAAACATGACTCATCTTCTTCAACTGCATGATAGGCTTTGTTCTTCAAATAATCATCACCACTGGTTCCTGCCATTGTTAAAAATAGAGTTTATAATATATGAGTTTAAAATATTTTGTTTTATTTTTAAAATTACAGCAACAGAAATGTTGAAAATATGGTTTAAATCCCTTTAGCACATATATATAGACAAATATCTTCATTATCATCAAATTGATTGCAAATTAATTTGAAGCCATTTTGAGCGTATTTTCAATTTCATTTAACCATAGGAACATCGACCCATGAGATTATTGGAACATGTGATCTAATACCACTTGTTGGGTCGAATGTTATTCGGCGTCAATGAAAACCTATAATTTGAAAACATATGGTTGATAAATAAGATGACAACAACTTATACTAAAAATGAATGTATTAGTGTATGGAATTTGACCATTTGTCCTACATATTATAAAATAAAAAACAAAAAGCATTAGATTGCAGAGAGGAAATCTGCCCATAAACAAAAGTCTCTAAATGACTACATTGTGGATGTTTAAGTTCTTTTGATATGAGAAGAGGAGTGTTCAATTTATAGAGTTCTAAATGTTTGCTCTAAGGAAAAAGAATACATAAAATATGGAAAATTATAATGTTTCCTTTTCAGGAATAAATTAAAGAATTTATGATATTACTTTATATTTCCTTCATAAAAAATAAACTGTGAAAAAGGAAAGAAAATTAGCGCAAAATCCTAATTATAAATTATTTAACCATATATTCTCTCAATGATCGCGTGGAGGGGTTTTTGATTGTGTAAAGTAATCTACCATGAAGATTTTTTTATTCTTAACATCAATATTGCTTTCTCATTTCACTATTTTTGAAATTTGAAAACTCTTGGAAGGAATTTGTAAAGACGGACTTCAAGGTTAATTGATTAAGTTAATTTAACCCCAAACTTTTATTACCCATTTATTGTTTCATGATTTTTTAATTAAATCCTTGTTTTTAAATTCAAACATTGAGGCTTTATCATGTTTTAAAAAAATTGGGGTTTCAGTATGATTTAAACTCGTTATTTGATTCGATTTCATTTGTGAGTTCCTAATTCGTTTATGATTTTGCATAAGAACTCTATAAACTACCCTTGTCCCTCATGAATGGCTATATTTCGTCGACTTGGACACGTAAATTACCATCATGGGTTTCAATGTTTATGTTTTCTTATAAAGATTCTACATTTGACTAGATTTTGCGGAGTTGGAGACTCATCATAGAGGAAAGGCTCAAATATCAAGTTGATCTTATTCTCTCTTAAGAAAAGATGACCACGTTGACATTCTTAACTGTACTCAACCTTCTATGCCTTGTTGGATAATTGAATGTCTCACCACTAGAATAGACACTCTGGACATGACTGACACTCAAGTACCACTGTTGGTCCCTAAGAGAACCCTCATACTTGTTGACTACAAGTGGAAGACTAACTTAAGCATGTAAAAACTTAAAACAAAATAAAATTTATCAAACTAAAATAAAAACTTTAACTAAAAAGAAAACTATGAATAATATAACAAATTAAATTTTTCATAATAGGCAACTTAGGTCTTTAAAACATTTAATAAAATAAATTATTAATATAGATTCTTCAACTATATTGACTAAACTTATAATGATTGAAATCGGGTTAAGATCCACGACATCCTGACTAAATTGAAAAGTAAATGAAATCCTATGGAATCAAGGAGGCTCACCATAGCAAACTTGAACTCTCGGATGTATCAACAAAGCTCCTGTTGATGATAAAAAATACATGTATCTGCATCATGAGAAAGCGTAGGCCAAATGGCACAGTACGTGAAATGTACAAGCATGTAAGATAATTTCAAAGCATAAAATAAGCTTGAACTTGATAAAAATGGAAACATACTTACCTATTTTTAAACTTACACATCTCAAGGAGTACTCAAGGATACTCAAAACTACTCAACTTAAGCAACTCAAAAGTACCCAAGGATAAGATACTCTACTCGGAGATTAGATACTCATCTCAAAAATTAGATATTCAACTTCAAAGATATGATACTTCACTCAATGAACCACATATCAATTCAAGATAGACAACTTAATGTACTCAAGATGAAATACTCAAGTCAAAGACTTCATGGGTAACATGTAATAGGTCCATGATTATAAATATAATCTCATAGGGGATTTGGAACTCACTACAAAATATTTAGAACTTGAATATACCATTTCTCTAAAAGATGCTCAACTTACGAAGTTCATGCTGAAGTATAGGCATGAAACAACTCGACTCGGAGGTCTACATACCTACAGGGAAATCATTATCTCTTCTCATTCTCTTAGTTGCTCCTCTAAACTTCATTAAAATCAATAGTTATCTCAAATGATTCTCAATTGATCTCAAATGATTTCTTCAACTTTGCTCTTTAACGCTCTCTAGAATGTGAATGATGAATTCAAGAGTTTGGTTCATGAGATGGAGTGATCACGTGATAACAAGTTAGGATCATGAATACATTCTCTTAATCCTAATACTCACTTGCTCGAGTCTTGATACAAGTTACTAGAAGTTTTAGAAGACTCCACAAAAGTACTCAAAGGGGCTTCCTTAGTATGTTCGAAAGAATTCTCAAAAACACAACACTTAACTCTAACTTGAATTTGAATTATGAATTCAAATTCATGAACTTGTTATAAATGATTTATAAGTGTTTGGAAGTAGTTTATAGCGATTAAAATCAAAGGTAGTGAAGGCAAACTTAAAATGCACTAATATGGGACAACTGATGGAAAAGAAGAGGGGTGGGCGACCCCAGCGCGTTTCGGGCGTGGGGCGCCAACCCCTATGTTCAGAGACTGCGTATGGGTGCATTGAAGGTGAGCTACTCCATTCCCTTGGGTGTGTCTAGGACGTGATGTACAATGAGTTCACGATATTTCTAATGCATTTCACGTAAGGGTTGTGTGTGTCTAAAGCCTTCTTGGATTTGTTTTAAAAAAATTTGTGTCTTGTTTTGAAAGCAAGATGTTCAAGTATAAAATAACGGAGACATTTGAGAAAGTGCAGTTGGGACCAATCGACATTCTATGATTTAATCAACGTCCCTTAAATAATAATCGTAGATGAGCAGCCCAGGCATTAGATGAAATAAGGGAATTCTGACAAAGTGTGGAACCACAGTTAACATCAACGATCTGTCAATTGATCGAAGGACTGTACTGGTGAAATGTAGTTTTTGACTGCACGTTCCATTACCTGATGCTTGAAGATTCTAAGTGTGAAGTCACGGAGGAGCATCGACAAACAGGAGATGAAACTACGGATCATGTTGTTGATCTGTCTTTTGATTCAGAGAAGATACAAATACTGAGGCTGAAAGATTTCTCTATGTCCTAGCTGACGGAAGCAATCCACAGACCTCAATCGATGGACAGCCCGTCTGTAGTCTCGTAGATAGAATTTACCTGCTAACACAACTTTCCTTATTTGAATTCCTTTTTAATTAGGCTTATGTTTTCTATAAATTTGGGATTAAACCTCATTTTTTGGGTTAACTACTATTAGCCTTGTTCTAGTTTATGTTTTGGAGATTAGTTTTTGCAATTTTGGGCAACTAATTGATTTCTAAATTAGATTTTGAATCTTTTGTTTTGAAGTGTGATTTTTGGGTTTATTATTATTACTACGTTTGTTCATGATTTCTTCATCTATCAATATGAATTGTGTTCTTGTTAACATGGGTAACTAAATCCACAACTAGGGTTGTGGGAACCATGAGGGATTAACAAAGTATAAGTAGTAATTAAGCAATTCGTTAGTAGTGTTTTTGTATGAACTTTATAATATTTTCGTTCAGAAGTCGTTTTAACGAGTGCACGCGTTAGAACTCGCCTTGTTACTACTTGCCGAACCAAGGAGGTAGTTCATGAGAAAGTATTATCAACATAGATTTAGTGTGATACTCTCTAATATATCTATTAGGCCTACGGCCACACCACTAAAATGTAGCCTATACTTCGAAAACGTGTGGCCTTTGATAAAAGTCTACACTTTTGGACTTTCATCAACACTTTTTAAGGTGGGGCCTAAAAAAGTGTAACCTTTGACATTAGACAACACTTTTACAATGTAGCCATCTTTGTCAATACTCATAAATCGTAGCATAAAAGATATAAGGGCACACTTTATAGTGATGCATTAGCGACACCTATTTTATATTATACTACACTTAAAAGTGTTGCATTTGCACTGTTATTGGTTACACTTAAAATAAGTTTTACCTTTTATGTCATCTCGAGCAACACTTATAAAGTGTTGCCTTTTATATATTATCTATAGAAACACTTATAAAGTGTAACTTTTTATATCATCTAGAGAAATACTTAAACGTGTAGCTTTATGTCTCATCTAACAACACTTATAAAACATAACTCTATATCTCATCTAGAGCAACACTTATAAAGTTTATACTTTATATCTTATCTAGATAAACACTAATAAAGCATAACTTTAACATTGGACGTCCTATAACAATGTTTTTGAATTGCATATATTCAATATAATATCACATATAATTACATACAAATGACCTAAAGCACAAAATTAACTAATAGTTAAATCCATAATTATGAACCAATAGTAATTCAAGAATGAAAACTGGGAAAGCTGTGAAAGCAACATCGATTGATTTATATCGGAAGTAGGAAGAATAAGTATAACTAAAGTGGGAAAAATTAAATGCACATCATAAGAAATCCAAAGTTAAGTATTAACTCAAATTAACGGACGAAGGATAGGGATATTCTGAGAAAAATCGGTACACGAAGGAGCAGAAATCACATCTTCTGAAGAAAGATACATAAGAGTATGAAAACGCGGTAGATGATGAAAGGCTCACTATGCAAGTAGGAATCCAGGAAATATGTGTCATCAAGCCATCTCGAGCCATTGCTTCAGCTTCCATGCTGGACACGGAATACTTTGTGCATTATTATTCAGATCGCAATGTCATTTAAAGAAGTTTTGACAATACAACAAACATAACTTTATATGGTCCACATATATCAGTTGGACAAAATCTTTTCTCGAGTTCCTTGGAAGCAGATGACATTCGAGATTTTTCACCTCAAAATGCAAAATGACGGGAACCTTGTTCAGTACCTTGTTGATACAACAAATAGTGCCCAATATGCATACTATGCAACAGCCTTACACAATTCCACTGATAGGCTAAGAAATCTAACTAGAGGAAACTACGTAGAGAAAGGACCACTATCTATATGCTATAAATCTAATACAAGTGTAGCTTACCAAACAAACAATGCACCGAATACAACACTATCAACAAACTACAACATACTACAATCCTCATATATCATAGAAATTGTTACAGCAGGCTCTGCCTCTTATTATTTGCTCAAACTTATTATTTAGTGTTGTTATATAAATATTCATAATTTATATTATTCTTCTTAATAATAGAATCCCAATGGACAATGTAGATTTCTAAAGATTTTATCTAATGAAATCATAGAGTCATGCCAACTTGAATGCACCTCAACTAATTCAACCATATATGTACAATATAACTCTACCCAGCAAGATGTAGAAAGAATATAAGAACTTACCTTGTGTTGCCTCTACTCGGACAAATGATTAAGGTTATTACTTCAATTTGTCAGCCCCGCTAGGCCACCACGTTGGACCCCAATCACCATCAATTTGACACGGGTTCATGACAAAAAGATAAACATTTAAGGGAAGCATATATACTGCCTGTTCAATACAATACAGGTCTGTCCACTTCTGCTCTTCTAACATATACTAATTGATAAGATATCTTAAATTCTTCAAGATACATATCATCAATGCCAACTTTTATCATTCATAAATTAATACAACGACAAAGATAAACATTCAAGGAAAGAATATATACTGCCTGTTCAATACAATATCGATCTTTCCAATTCATCTCTTCTAACATATACTAATTGATAAGATGTCTGAAATTCTTCAAGATACAGATCATCAATGCCAACATTTATCATTCAAAAGCTAAATAAACGACAAAGAAATAAGGTTCATGAATGCAACCATAGGGTAATCCATAGACTATACAAAGGCATGTTATAACTCTAATACTATTTCTAACCAATGAAAAAAATATTTCAAGTGAGAGAAATCCTTTATATTTAAAGAGGAGAAATTTACTGTTTTCAACTATCAAATCAACAGTCTATATTAAATTACTATAATTAGCTCACGAAAAATAATGCAGCATAGCTACTTCAATATGTCAACATTAATCGACTATGTGAATGCATCAAATAACAAAACAAGCACATAACATCATGCCAACATCTTAAAGCAGTTCCAATTTCAAATTTGTACTTATACTTTTATTGTACTGTTCTTGTTTATCCTTCTGATTGCGCGGACAAATGGCCTCGACCCCCAAAGTTGTAGAATAAATTAGAGCCTTCGAAAGGAATTCAAGTAGATCTCATGAAACACATAACAACCTTTTCATCCTTTATCAAGAGAGGATACTTAAACATAATAAAAAAAAACATTGAATATACATGAATAGAAGTAGGGATTTTAGTTATTTGGATTTGATATGATGAAGAGACTATCTTAAATTTTATAAAGTACATGTGAGTCTGTACAAAAAAATATATCTTATTGAAAACTATATCAACAACCAACGAAGAAGAAAAAAAATATCTTGGACTGACTTAGTTGCAATACAAGAAAACATGTCTCAAAAGTATATAACAAGTCTACAATAAATCAGAACTGCTTCTCCTAAAAAGAGAGATAAGAATGTAAATTACTGAATTGAGAACGAAAGACGGTTTGTTAAAAAAACATCATTCAAAAGTATGTAGCATCTAGAATATAATCTAGATCAACTAAGTGAAAAAATATCAAGTAGCTTGTGAATCGGTCGTCATAGCACATTTGCTGGTTAGTAGGCAATGAGAGTGTTCTTTTGGTGTGACCCATTTGATTAGTATAAGCATAATATAGAACGATATGACTAACAAATTGAATCATATTCCCGAAGAGAATGTAGATCATGATGAATCAGTTTTACTACCATAAATCCATGATATAGTAGCCATACTAGGATCGGTATTGAGCACCATTCTACACGAGAAGCCACGAGAAAATGGTTAAAAAAGCTCATCTACGAAATTTGATACAGTTGAGCTAAGAATGAAATAAGTGAACATAGGAAAAAGAAGTGAACAAACACCAAGATACAATGCTATTAAACTGAAGTTATAATGAGATATCGTGTGATGCCTATTGTCTGATTGGTTTAAACAATTGGAAAATAGATAAACTAGATAACCTAAAAAATAGTGGTTGTCACTCAATATATAGCAGTTGCATATTTTCTAGCACTGATGATTAAAACAAAACAAAAATAAAGTCAATCATACAAGTGAGTTAACATACAATTTTGATCTAAATCCTATATATAGAGAAATACCTTTTCTCTACTAAACATGTCCCAACATAACCTAATGGATAGCTCGCAATGTAGAAGAAAATGATACATGCCCTCACCTACCACTTTACACGCATAACACCAATAAATCTTGATAAGGACAAACACTGAGTACCAAAACATTCTGGAGGTTACATGTAGTAGTGATTTGGTTCAGTAATTTGAAGCGTTCGATTCTAATGGATTACGAAATTAACTTAAGAATTTGAAAAATAACTAGAATATTAAATCAGTGCTTAAATTTTATCATTCATATAGATTAATAGTTAGGATAACAAAGTAACATATTTGAATGGAGTTTTAAAAGATTCATCACAAAATTTTGAACTTGAAGAAAAAAATTTATAAATCAATCACCTTTGATGTTATACAGAAATTATAAAGACAGTATAAACAATGGCACCTCATACTCAAAATGTTATTTAACTAAAACTGAAAATTCATAAACTACATTTATTATGAACCTCAACAGCTTGAAATATTGCACAGGATGGGTTAAAAAAGATATAGTGAAAAAAAGCTTACTTTAAATGCAACAAAAAAGATACACACTTGTTGCGATTCTGTTCGTTAGGACCTGAAACTTCATCGCCTTATAAAGTCCTCATCCGACATTAACAAGTACTCTCTTCCATCGTGACCTATATATGAATATCTAGGAGTTAGTTAAGTAGTATTTGGCATTTTCAGAGTTATGCTTATATATCTACAAAAGATTTCTGAGTTGAAACATTATAAGGGACTCGAGAAATTTAAACAAGCAAAAACACACAACCTTATTCCACATAGGAACAAAAGCGAGGGAGAACACTACTACGATTGGTTAAGAATTGACCTTCAGATCTGAATATCACAGACAAGAGGGAATACATTTTAAACTAATAGGACACAAGAATCAACAACATGCTACAAGCATTCAATTCAACAACTTGCTACAAGCATTCAATTCAACAACTTGCTACAAGCATAGAGAATGCTTTGGTATTAGGTAAATACATCTATTTATTTTATGTAGTGCCATAATAGGCATGGTCAACTACACCATCAAGATATTAACTTATAACCAAATATCATTAACAAGATCCACAACAAGAAATAAACCTCGTTATGTTTTATGTATGAGAATGAAAGACAGTCAAAATGTAGACAAAGGAAGATAACAATGGCAATTAGTTGAGTGCACCTGTTTACTAGTTCTCCTCTTAAACGTGTGGAGACCTAATCCACCAAAAATGGTTGACGAGGTAAGAAGTTCATCTCCCGACATGGCTATTAATATGTCTATCCCCATGGAAAGTCTGTTATTTACTTCAATAGTGCAAACAAATTAGTTATTCTTTGTTCGTCATCCTACAGTATTTGTAAAGAAAAATTAACATAAGAATATAAGGTTCAAACTGTGCACTTTAGTTGTATCAACACTCGAGAATCAAGCGTAGATTTAAGAATGTATCAGCACTCTACAATACACTAACGTCTAGCTATAACATTTGTATCGTATGTCATATAGGAAAAATAAGAAAAGGTCTTTTCCAATGAAAACATACCAGATAATTCAAGGCTAAAGACCATCAATTGTCATCGGCCTCTAATGAGGACCCCATGAACAAGAAACTGCAACTAATAACAGTAATAGATGAAATGGCAATCTATCAGATACCATTGGACCATGAATAACATAACACCGTGGGGGCAACTTTTAGAAACACATGAACATGAAAAGTGGGTCTGGCTCTAGCGCAATACAAACATATGACCATTGACCATGATCAACTATTCTTGCAGGTAAAACTTCATCATACTGATTCAATCCAATCATACATAGGTAACTGAGAATGATGAACACCTATTTTGATAACATCAATATATCTAAAATCAAAAAAGTCTAAACATTAAGATGGAAAGACTATCATATAGTTTCCTTCACTTTGTCTGTACTGAAATGAGCAAAACATTAGCTTCTGATAAAACTACAATAGCTTGAAACATATGATTGCAGCCATTTGATGGCACCCTTTTACAAATTGCACCGCAATAATAGGAGAAAGTATGGACCATATATTTCCCATAGAAGTTTAAACTCCAATACCAGTTGACCTCACAGATGTTGTATATATCTTCATAAATGACATTAAAATGAATAACTCAAGTCTCTAGAAAGAAACTGTGCAGTAGCATATGCTTGCACAAGAAGAACTGCTAAAGAATTCTATTTTTTCCAATTGTTTCTATTTTTCTATATGCAAATAAGGATACCATATTTATTTAACCAAGTTAAACCACCCACAAATAACTTCTCATCTCTCAAGATATTACCATTTGGCCATAAAAATCAAAGTCCTAAATCACATTTAGCATAAAAAAGCAGAGATAGTAAGGAAAAGAGGCAAATGAGTATGTAAGACAACAATATTATGAAATGAGTGTTATCAGAACTGTTATCTAACAACCATTAATTACTTACTCATCCTTATAAAACCTCCAATTGTTTAATATGTAAAGAGGGATAAGCCAAGCAACGTTAACATTAGTAAAACTTGCAATGCCTTTATTTTTCAGTTCTAAAAGGGATTGTTTTGTCATGATAGCATAAGTCACTACAATAACCTTAATGTAAAAATAGATGCAATACGACACCCAAAAGAGTAGTAAACATATATTGTACATGTAATGATATGATTAGCATCTCTAGCTGTCAGATACCCATATAACATAAAGGATGCACACTGATTATCAATTAGCTACATAATAATTTGCATAAGTAACATTTGCAACAAGTGCATGCTTAATATAACTTTAAAAACTCTGATTCTTGAAAAAAAATGAAATCTGTAGATAGAATTCACAAAAGTTCCATGTAAAATGTGTAACTGCAATTCTACAATGTGCTTTAGAATTATCTTGGAGGGTTTTCTATCATAAGTTAAAACAATCTATCAAGGATACATACTAACTCACTCAAATTCTTCGGAGTAGTAATTTCCTATCTCAGCTCCTGAATATGCCTAAGGTTCACGATTTTGTGTACTTTCTTCATGTACTTTGGAATTTCAGCTGTAACTCGTGATTTGTTCCATTACAACAACCCCAAAGTATTCAATTCCTTCTTATATACCTCTTCTAAACACAAAACAAAACTTAAATCAATTGACAAGATGATTAGTAGAGTAGCTACATACGCTTCTCCAAATTGATATTAGGAAGGAATCGTAGGTATCTTCATCTTCAGCTCATTAGTTCATCAGAGAAAGACGATTAAGCTTCAACTCAATTCTTCATAAAAACATGACTTAGTTTCAGCTAGTACATTCAATATTCAACAGATGAAAAAAGTAGTTAGACTCCCTAAAATCAACAAAACTCGTATCAATAACACAATAATATCAAAACCATAAGTCAAAATTTAGACTTTAAAAATACACAAGAATATCAAAACCCTAAGTTAAAATTTAGACTTTCAAAATACACAAGAATATCAAAGCCCTAAATCTAGACTTAAGACTTTTAGAGATAGAATTCCTTACCTGGTAAACACTATTCCAACAAACCGAAAGGTTTAAGACGTGGGTCGTGTTCGTTTGAAGAATTTTGTTCATATATGAAATCCGGCTGAACAACTCTTTTTTGACAAAGAATCTATGAGGACATTCATGTTCTTCAGCTCTTCAATCTTCCACAAGGAATCTGTGATCAATTTTGACGGAAATTTTGAGGAAAAACTATTGTTCTTCGTTCTTCAGAAAAGTTATTATTCTTCGCTGAGAGAAAAGCCATTGTGAGGAAAGTCGAGAAAATTAAGCGAAAGGTTTCAATTAAAACTCGTTTTTGTTTTTGGTAAGAGATTGACCTAGAGTCAATCAAATATTTTTTAAAACGTAATAAATTAATTATTAGACTAAATTAATATTTTAAAAACATTTTAATCTTTTATAAAATATAAAATATCACACTTTTATAATTCAACCCAAATCATTTAAAAGAAAATTTTTTTCATCTTCCCTCATCTCTTCTCTGTCTTCTTTTCTTCATCTTCTTCCTTAGAAATTTGGAAATTCATCGTTACTCTTTCTCTATAGTCGTTACTCTTCCTCTCCAATCCTCCACTACTCTCTCATCTTTCTTTTCTGTAATCGTGTTCGACTAGAAAAGGATAAATTATTTTTTGAAATACTTTACAATTTTCGATGTTTTTTTCTTAAATTAATGAACAATAAAATGTTCTGTAGGTGTAAAAACTAAATAGTCGAATTAATGGTGTGTGTTATTTATCATTTTTAAAAGAAAATCAGCCAACTCACAAAATCCATATTTTGAGGAAATATATCTGTAATGTTATCATTCAGTGAAAAGTCATTTTTAGTTGTTGTTGTTGTTCTTTTTTTTGGTCATTTTATTGATATGATTTAAACGTGTGCTGCCACATTTTAGTGATATGTTGGTCATCTGTTGCAACATATGATTCAAATGTTGCAATACTCAGTACAGATGTGTCAACATATAATGTATCTGTCGCTACATAAGATGTATATGTTGCACAATACAAGGTACATATGTGGCAACATAATGTTAATTTATCGCATGGAACTATCCATCGGTGCAATATACTGCTAATATTATTTTATAATGAATTTTAAAATTTATATGTTGGTCATCTGCTACCACATAAGATTCAAATGTTGCAATAATCTGTATAGAAGTATCAACATATGATGCATCTGTTGCTACATAAGATGGATATGTTGCACAACATCAGGTACATATGTGGAAACATAATGTTAATTTATCGCAATACAACGTACTGCTAATATTATTTTATAGGGAATTGTAAAATCTCAATATTTTTTAATTTACCTTGTAGATGAAATGATACAAGAAGCTTAATCCATTTGAACAACTCTTCTAACATGAAATGCTCTTTTTGTCTATGTGAAGAATGTGAGCAACAACATGACTATTTTATTAGTCGTATTCAAAAACTCACTTATATTTTTAAGGAAATTTTTCATAATATTGATGTGCAAAGATCCAAGAAGACTTCACAGCCTTTTAAATGTAGGAGGTTGAAAAAATTTATTTCTCAAACACTCTCTATTATTATTGAGAAGAAATAAAAGGAGAAGAAGGCAAAGGAAGAGAAGGAGAAGGAAAAGGAGAAGAATGCAAAGGAGAAGAAGAAGAAGAAGAAAAGGAGAAGGAGAGGGAGAAGAATGCAAATAAAGAGAAGGAGAAGGAGAAGGAGAAGAAGGCTAAACAGGAGAAGGAGAACAAGGCAAAGAAGAAGAAGGCAAAGGAGATTGAGATGGAGAAGCAGAAGCGAAATTAGAAGGAGAATAAGAAGGAGAAGGAGAAGCAGAATGAAAAAGTGAAAGCGATAAAGAAAGGGAAGAAAGTCAAAGTTGTCAGTTGTGATGTGAAGCGACAATATCCATTTGAATGTTTTAACATTGATGGCAAGGGTCCAACTAAACTAATGTCAACCTTCTCACAATGGATAAAAAGGGTTTTTACAAGCATCATGCAAAAAAGTAAGTAAAGTAAAACAAGTAATGCCGTTCAACTATTATAAGAATTTCTTCTTGTTGTCCAATATATAATGATTTATAATGATTGCACAATTGCAGAGGAAACAAGGAGGATCACTACTTATCCAATTGCTCAAAACTTGAATTTGACGAACTTGATTTAGTAATTGCATTTCTAATGAATAAGGATTGGTTCTACGTAATGTTTTAACCCAATAGGCGGTGGAATGATGAGGCGAATACATGCTCCCTTTTATGTGTATTGTTTAGTACATGATTATATACAATTAAATTGATACAGTTGTTTGATGCATGTGTGCAATATGTGGATATCATACTTTACTATTTGCGTAAGAATTCGAAGCAAAAGATTCAATCTAAATATCAATATACCACTACTAAATGTTTTTTAAAACATACATTGACAATTCTAGTGAATATGAGAATAAAATCATTTACATAATGAAAGAGTATGCTATACCTTCTGGAATGTCTTGGCAATTGACAGATGATGTTTATGTCCCTATAAATAGTAATGGTGAACTCCACTGGGCCTTGGCTGGCGTTGCATTGAAGGAACAATGTATAAAAGTGTATGATTCCATGTATTCAAATAGGTATAATAGAAAACTATCCTCTGAGATTCAAAAGATGGCTACAATGTTACCAAAGTACCATGAGTTAGGTGGATTTTTTGAGAAAAATTAGTGAACCAACTGGTCAGTTCTTAAATGTTACCAAGGAAAGAACAAATCTCACCTATTTGAAGTCAGTCATGTTACTGGTATTTCCCAACAACAAAATCAGTATTTTGAAAGTATCACAGTATTATTTTGTCTGATGACTATCGAAATGTGATGTTATTATATTTTCTTATTGATGATATACCATGCAGAGATTATGGAATTTTTATTGCTCCATACGCTGAGTATTTGAGTGATCGAATACAAGTACCATCATGTGGAATTAATGCTGACACCCTTCGCTTGAGATATGCTTCACTCCTATGAAATTATGGGATTGTAAAGCCTCTAAATGGTTACGTTAGTAATAATGAATATCCAGAGATGCGTCGAACTAAAATAAAATCTAAGATCAATGAAAATGTTGACTTTACAACCATTGATTATATAGGTGGTTATGCATATCATATTACTGTGAATTACCTTATTGTTGATAAGTTATATAAAACAAATGGTGAAGTGTTAATTAAAATGTAATTGCGGTAGTAATAAACACGAAAAAAATTATATGTTGCAATAGTTCGTATATATGTAGCAACATATAGTATATATGTAGCAATAGGTAGTATATAACAAATAGTATATTTGTAGCGATAGATAATATATATGTAGCAACAGTTCATATATATGTAGCAACAGATAGTATATATGTAGCAACATATGTCCACAGTTTGAATTGTCAAAATTAAAAAAAAAATTAAACTATTTTATTTTCATTTCCCCTATCTCCTTTCTCCGCTCTTCTATTAATGTCATTTCGTATTCCACAAGATTTATTTATTTATACTAATTTCTCTTCGATATATGTAATTTTTGTAGTAATAAACATGAAAAAATTATATGTTGCAATAGTTAGTATATATGTTGGAATAGATAATATCTATGTAGCAACATATGTCACAGTTTGAATTGTCAAAATAAAAAAAAATTGAACGGTTTTGATTTTCATTTTCCATCTCTCCTCTCTCCTCTCTCCTCTCTATTCTATAAATGTCATTTCTTATTCCATAAAATTTATGTATTTCTTCTCTACTGACAACTTCTCCTTCTTCTCTTCGATTCTCTTAGTCCATACTTCACAGATCACCTTCTACAGCAAGGCGCTGTTGTCATAATTTCTACTTTATCGTTTATATATATCTTCTCAGGTAAGGTAACATTTAATTAGGATTTGAAATTCATGTGCTTATCTGCTTATTTCCCTGTTTTGACTTGTGGTTGTAGCTCATGTGTGTGGCTTTCAAATAGTTTATTTTTGTGGTTGCAGATAAAAATATAATAGCTCCAATCAAAAGAAAACTTGATATTGATACATCTGACCAAACAATGATCCAGAAGAAGGTTAGGTCTAAAATTCATAGGAAGAAGAAGGAAAATACTACACTTTCTAGAAAACTTGAAACTGAAGAGGTTTGTTCTTCTCAAGCGATAAACAAAGACAAGTAGTGGAGGAAGAAGATGGAAAACAATAAGTTGAGGAACAAGGGAAAATAAATGAAGTTCAGGAAAAAGAAAGGAAAAATACAGAAGTAGTAGTTATGGCACAACAAGAAAAAATAAATGAACTTCATGAAGAAGAACAAGAACTTCATGAAGAGTTCAATGCTAGTGGTGATGATGGGATTAAAATCAACAATGTAGACACTTTCACAATGCATCTGCAGCCTGATGTTAATGGTGACAACATCATTAGGTCAATCCTAACAAGACCTTTCGTCAAATTCAGGGATATCCTCAAGAGAAATCAATTGGAAGATTTTTTAAAAAATAGATGTTTAGGTCATTTTCTTGAGTTACCCATTGATCCACTTCCACATTTTAAAATGACCATCGTGTATTAACTTTTGAAAAGAAGGTTCATTTTTGAAAATCCCAATAAGAAAGATTAGGTTCTAATTAATTATTGTGGCATGCCAGTTTTCTTTGGCATAAGAAATTTTGTCATAGTTACGGGGCTAAAATGTCATCCTCTTGTTGAGCCCATTCCAGAATACATTGTTAATACAGAACCACGATGAAAGAAAAATCACTGCCAACTGAGGAGCAGGACTTGATGTCCCTTGTTGGCAAAAGCTTTAAAAGTTCTGACTTATTATTTTTGTTGGAACGGGAGGATACAACAAGGAAGCACAGGGAGTCATTGTGCTTACTTTGGTTTACACATAATATTTTTTTGCCGAAGGATCCGTGCAACAACATACTTTTGAAGTATGTTAATATCTGTCACGATATTAAAGCTTTCAAGAACTACCCATGGGGTCATGAGATCTTTCATCTAAGTGTCGACTACATGCTGAGACCTTTACTAGAAAAGACCAGAAACTTGTTTGGTTTTCCATGGGCTTTCATGGTAAAGCTGAATGTTTTTAATCTTTTTATATTACATTAAGTAATAATTCAACATATGATTATTGACATGTTTTCCTTTTTTACAGGCTTGGTCATTTGAAGTCATTCCGTATTTGACCCACCAAGCAATTGCAGCAGAAGAGAGATTATCCCCAAGGATGATGATATGGTTGATGGCAAGAACAAAAAACTACCAAAGAAGGGAATAT